TTATATTTTGCATTTCTTTATATAATATAATTTCTATTTATTTCAGAAATATAAACAAATTAAAAAATGTATCTGAAGAAATACCAACTCTTAAAACTCAGAATGAAGTAAATAATGTATTTGATATTATTAAAAATTGTAAATCTAAAATCTAAAGTTACAAGAGGTTTGTTATTTATTATATAAAATATATAATAATTTGTCATAATGGTTATTTTTAAAGATTCTAATTGAAATCTTTATTTATAAATTATAAATTTGTAGATTGGCTTACAGATAAAAATACACCTTGGGTTTTATCAGCAATTTCTTTAGCTTTTACTAAAATGGATTTTGAAATTTGGAATAAAAGCAGAAATAATACAAATATTAATGAAAGTGTTTATCATAATATCAATTTATATGGAACTTCATTATTATTACTTGCAGTAATTAAAAGTAAGTTAAATCTAAATTTATAAATTGGTTAGTATTATTATATTAATTATATATTTATTCTATATAGAGCTGAAGAATTCGATAATAGAGAATGGAATGCAGCATCAAATTTTGAGAAATACAATGTATCTATAAGTAGTAAAAATAAATCACAAGTACAAAAATTTAATGAAGCTTCTAAACGTTTAAGTAAGTAATTATTTAACAATTTTATTATTAAATGTATTTAAAATACTTAAAATTATATTTATTATAGGAAAGCAAAAAGGAAAAGAACCAGAAATAAGTGATAATTTAACAATAGCAACATTTTCAAGATCACCTAAAAGACCAAAAAATAAAAATAATTAAAATGAAATTTTACAAATTAATAATATTGAAGCAAGACAACAATGGTTAAAGCAAGAGAAGCAGGCAGTTGAATTATTAAGACAGAAGGTTGCTTTGGAAAAACAATTACCTGAGTTAAGAAATAGAGAGAATATTGATGAATAATATATTTTTTCTTATATTTGATTTTGGATTTATAAATTTTAAATAAATAAATAAATATTTATTGATTAAATGAAATATTTTATAAAATAAAATAGTTAGAATTTATTATTTTTTTGATAAATAATTTTATTATTTATTTAGTTTAAATACAAAGCAAATTGTTAAAAAATATTTATAAATTTACGGTAATAGCCTTACGAATGAATGGCGCAGTAGTAAAGACTAATTTTTTTTCTAAAAAAATAATCGAAGTTAGTCTAAACAAAATAGCATAGTTTATAAAAAAAAATTTTTTATAAAGCTTTTAAAAAAAATAATTAATCTTTATATACAGTTCGAGAAGTAGAGTAAAGCCAGTATAGTACAGTACAATCATAATTTTAATGATCGTACTGATCAGCATGATTGTACTGTACTAATCAGCTGAACTGTACATACCAGTTTTCCTTCTCCCTATATCTTTTTTACGAAGCTTTAAAATAATGATAAAGTCAAAACAATGATAAAATTAATTCATTTTATTATTAGAAATTCTGTATGAAAATTTGATGATGGATTATTTTGTATTGAATCCTTAAGTAAGCAAAGTTAAAGGTAAATTTAAAAATAAAGATTATAAAAACAAATTTTGCTTTAATATTATTATTTAAAGTTTTATAACTGTTCTATACTTAAAAAATTGGTTAGGTTAGATTATCAATCTAAGGTTGGGTTGAAATTAGGAAAATTGAATTAGTGATCATCTTTTGTATTATAATTTTATACTATCACCACATTAATAGCAGAGAAAATTTATGGTCAACTGATATGCAATTATTAAAAAATTTTCTTTCCTACTATGTACTTATAATAAAAATATAAAAAAGCAAAAGATACAATTTTTAGATAAAATTTAAGATTGCAAAATTCGGAGAATATAAGAAATCTAACCATTATTTTATTTTCAAACGAAGGAATACGTGAATCTTTATTTGTCAGAAGTATTACAAAACTATTATTTTTTGTTTAATAATAAAATTTTAATGATGTTTTTAAAATCACAAAAATTATTGATATTTCGTACATAGTTGTTCATATAAATTCGGAAAAAGGTAAAGAAAATGCGGCAAGATTTTCCGTTCCATAATTTTTTAATAAAATAAAAACATTATTAAATAATTTAACACGTTATAGATTATTTGTGTAATATATTATTTGCTTTGTAAATTAATTCTTTTATAATTTTAAATTGTTAAAATTTTTTATTAAAAATTATTTATATACTGCATTATCTCATCTTGCAGGATCTAAAATTCGAATTACTGTACATGTAGAGTTGAATTCATTCTTCACGTAATTATGCGCTAATTACTTATTATTCATACTATGCAACAAGAACTACTGTAAAGCGTGACTAAACCACCTTAGGTATTTTACAAATCTACCCTTAAATTTGCAAAATACCCAGGTAGTTTGATTAGGGAATATTTTATAAGAAGGGAGATGGCTTGAAAGGTTATGTAGATCATCAATATATAAAGTTTTTTGGTGTTCCATTTTTTGTATTCGTTCTATTTTTTTGTATTGTGTTTCACTATTATACTATTAAAATTGGTTAGAGTAAATAGATTTACTCTTAAAAAAAGAGAAATTGGTCAGTTCGTGAAAAATTAATAGTTTTGCATTTTTTAAATAATTCAAATAGTGTTCGTATTACTGCAAGATATTTTGATTTACAACCAAACCAAATTCGTGACTAGAGGAATAAAAAAGACCAACTTAAAGTCTCTGCAACTCATTTATTAAAATTACACAGTGGTAGACAAGCATTTTTTTAGAATTAGAAAATGAGTTAGCAAATTGGATTTTGAAATGTAGATAATAAGGTTTACCAATTACCAGAAAATGGTGACAAAGAAAGCCAAAGAACTTGCACAAACTGATAAATATCAAGAAAAATATCCTAACATTTCTTCCTTTAAATTTTCAAATAAATGGATAGACTGTTTTATGAATCATTATGATCTTTCAAATCGTCTAAAAACAATAGTATTTTAGCATTTACCAGAAGATTTACTTGAAAAGCAGCAAAGTTTTTTGAGTTTTGTCCTTTATAGAAGAATATAATATGATTACTCACTTCAATTTATTAGAAATATGAATGAGACTCCTGTAGCTTTTGATTTATCTAATTCATATATTTAGAAAAACGCGGTTCTAATACTATTAATATCAAAACTATTGGACATGAAAAAAGTACATTTACAGTTGTTTTGGGTTATATGGCAGATGGATCAAAATTATTACCTGTTGTTATTTTTAAATTAAAGAATATACCTTGAGAAACATTTCCTAATGATATATTTGTAATAGTAAATGCAAAAAGATGGATTAATGAAAATGAAATGATTTGGTAGGTAGAATATATTTGGTCTAGAAGAACTGTTAATTCATCTAATCTCAGTTCACTTCTTATCTTAGATTCTTTTCGTGATCATTTAGTTAGCTTTATTAAATAAAAATTACATAAAAAAGTAACTAATATGGCAGTAATTCCTGGTGGATTAACATCAAAATTGCAACCTCTTGATGTATCAATTAATAAAAGTTTTA